CGTGTCCCTTAGTCGTCACCGTATCCTGGTCCCCTCAGCCATCATCATGTCCCTTAGTCGTCACCGTATCCTGGTCCCCTCAGCCATCATCGTGTGCCTTAGTCGTCACCGTATCCTGGTCCCCTCAGCTATCATCGTGTCCCTTAGTCGTCACCGTCTCCTGGTCCCCTCAGCCATCACTGCGTCCCTATGTTGTCACCGTATCCTGGTCCCCACAGCCGTCTCCATGTCCCTTTTCTGTCAGCATATCCTGGTCCCCTCAGCCATCACTGTGTCCCTATGTTGTCACCGTATCCTGGTCCCCTCAGCTGTCACTATGTCCCTTCACTGTCACCGTGTCTTGGTCCCCTCGGCCGCCATCATCTCCCTTAGCTGTCACCATGTCCTGGTCCCCTCACTGTGTCCTGGTCCCCTTGGTCGTCACCGTGTTCCTTTCATGATCATGTTACTTGAGGTGCATCATCCCAGAATAATCACTTCAGAATAATGAGAGGCTGTGCTGAGTCCATGCCAAAGGAGTGCGGCTGTTAACATGATGCTGATGCTGAATAAGCATCTCAGGCTGGTTCCCTTCGTATGCAGCCTCTGCTTCACCCTCCCAAATACACGCCTTTATGAGTTAAATGCAGGCAATTAATCACTGAACGCACGTCCCTTCGGTGCCACAGAATAGAATATGGTAGGATAATGTAGAGCAGTACCTAATGTTAAACACACAGCCGTATTATAAGGGGAAATTATTCATGGGTAAAGTGTAACAGTAAGAGTAATGCTTCTGCGATGTGCAGGAGCTGGTCTGAAGCCTGGTTATCTAAAAATAAGCCAGCTAGATAAAATTAGCTGTTAATTTTTAACCTTAATGTCAATATTGATTAACTATAGTTATGTAATCGTTTGAGTCTTCTGTACTATGACAGAAGTACTTATTACCTTATCTGGGCAATTTTAAATAAGCCTGCTGTGTATGGAAAGTGTTCATTAACAAAAGGGCAAGCAGGATGAGCTCTGCCTTCACATTCAGGTGAGCTCTCGGCTTTTTAGTGCCTGCTCGTTGGAGTGATTTCATTGGCCGATGGAGATTCGGCATATTTCAATGCGCTGGGATTAGATGGACGTCACGTTGACTTTGAAGATGGACATTTGCTGTGATTGGTTAAGAAAATGGTCATGGCTTTGGGCTTTAAGTGCCAGGTACCGGGGCGGTAATGACAGGCCAAGTCGGGGGCAGCGTGGCGTTTTTGCGAAACATATGGCGCCACTCGTATGTGAGGGCAGTGCAAAATGTGCAGCCCCTCCCTCCCGTATCAGTGCTAAAGAACAGAAAGAGCAGCTTAATGGGGGAGGGGGGGTGCATTAGTGTCTCGGCCTTGCACGACCCACTGCTTCCTGTTTACGACTCTGCTCGTGCACAGAGCACAGACCTGTGAACCATGAAGAGGACCGAGTGGTCTGACGAACGTGCATGGCGGCAGGCACAGGGGGTGCCGTGCCGGGAGGGGGGCTATGGTCTGATTGGTCAGACATGCCTTCATTCCGTAATGCGGCTTCCCTCAGGGCCGAAAAAGAGCTGCTGAATCTCAGGGGTTACTGCTGAGTCAGCATGAACCTGGATTTTGGGAAGTTTCATTCAGTGTGAAACATATATCTCAGTCTGTATGTTTGTAAATCTGAGTGGGAAAAACAACAATCACTAAGTGAAATATTTAATTTCTGTTGTTTCTGCCGGTGGTAATGAGTAACTAAGTTGTGTTAGCGGACGTAGCGTGGGGTTAGGGCTCACCTTCATACTTCACCGTGGACTTTAGGTCATTGTAGCCAAGCCGGGTTGCACAATTCTGCCAGCTCTGGATATGTCTCACAAATGTTGTTTCACTTGTTCTAGATTTTTTATTTTTTAAAGTTTACTGTATACTGGTTGTAACTGGGTGGTAATAAAAAGTCCATAGAAAATTAAACTTTTCTTTGAGTGTCCAGGGCTGGGTTATGGTGCCATTGACTGAAAGTAAGACACTATATGCAGGTACGTTATGAAATACTGTTGTTTAGATGAATCAGCAGTCACGTGTAAATTAAAACCTGGCCTTTTATATACGTCATTTTATATACGTCAAGCCTGTTGTCTGACTATTGCACCGGCTAATGTGTGGTTGATCATCTTGGTAGCAGTGGAGACGATGCAGCCACTCTGGCACTTTATCTTTATAGGTCGTCTAGCAGTAGAGCCGTATGAATCAGGAGCTCTGCAGTTATCACACACCTTGAAATGCACATTGTAAGCAATCTTATCAGCTGCTGTGAGTAGCAGGGTCTTTTCTTCAGTAGCTCCAGGATTAATCTAAGGCCTCACGTGACCTCTCTGTCAGTGGCGGTGACCTTACAGCTACATTACGCGCAGCGAGGGGTGCTTTCTCCCTCAGGCGGTGCATAAAGCACTCCTTTTTTTCCCAGCAGTCTCTTGGTCTCCTCCTCCCCAGAACCGATGGAGCCTGAGTGACGTGCCATGGCCCTAACGATCCCTCCGGTGAAGCTCAAATGGCTGGAGCACCTCAACAGCTCCTGGATCAGCGAGGACAGCGAGTCCATCGCCACGCGGGAGGGGGTGTCTGTGCTTTACTCCAAGCTGGTGACCAACAAGGAGGTGGTTCTGCTGCCTCAGCAGGTGCTCTGCCTCAAGGGCCCTCAGCTACCGGATTTCGAGCGCGAGTCGCTCTCCAGCGACGAGCAGGAGCATTACCTGGACGCCCTCCTGAGCAGCCAGCTGGCCCTGGCCAAGATGGTGTGCTCGGACTCGCCGTTCGCCGCGGCGCTGCGCAAGCGGCTGCTGGTGCTGCAGCGCATCTTCTACGCCCTCTCCAACAAGTACCACGACAAGGGCAAGGTCAAGCAACAGCAGCACTCGCCCGAGAGCAGCACGGGAGCCGCCGACCTGCACTCAGTGAGTGAGCGGCCGCGCTCCAGCACCGACGCGCTCATCGAGATGGGCGTCCGCACGGGGCTTAGCCTTCTCTTCGCGCTGCTGCGGCAGAGCTGGATGATGCCGCCCCCGTCGCCGGGGCTCAGCCTCTGCAACGACGTCATCCACACCGCCATAGACGTCATCAGCTCCCTGCCGCCGCTGTCGCTGGCCAACGAGAGCAAGATCCCGCCCATGGGACTGGACTGCCTGGCCCAAGTGACTACCTTCTTAAAGGGGGTGACCATGCCAAACTCGGGGGCCGACATCGTGGGTCGCCGGCTGGCTTCGGAGCTGCTCCTGGGCCTGGCTGCCCAGAGGGGCTCCCTGCGTTACCTCCTGGAGTGGATAGAGATGGCGTTGGCGGCGGCCGCCGTGGTCCGCACCATGGAGCAGAGCAAGGCGTCCCCCAGCCAGGAGGGCCTCATCGGCTACGACTGCTTCATGAACATCCTACTGCAGATGCGCCGGTCTTTGGTAAATGTCCTGTCGTCCCCGTTTAATAAAGGCTTTCCCTGGAGTTCCTCTTGTGGTATAACAATTGGATATATAAGAATGTAGTCAAAACTATATCATGTATTTCCTATAATGATAGCATGGCTGGGGAGTTTGGGCAGCCAGCTAACCTCGGGCCTCCAGAAGTGTTTGGTTCCTGTCATCTTTCTTTCTTTCTTTCTTTGCCTTCCCTTTTTCCTCTTTTTGATACATTCTTGCATCATTTGCACAGAATATATCACATCACACCCATGTAAAGTGCCTTGGAGTGACACTGTTGTGAAAATACTATATAATACTATATAAAAATAAATAGAGTTGAACTGCAATGCACCCCAGAAATCTTCGCTGTAACCACCTTGGTAATCTTCATAGGGCTCTTCAGGAGACAGGAGTCACTGGAGGGAGCCCACACGCACGCCCGATGGGCTCTGCTCTCTGTATGAAGCGGCTCTCTGTCTCTTTGAGGAGGTAAACGTCGCTCTACCTGCCATCCGTTTAACGTGCCGAGTCACGAGAAGCCGCTCCCTCGCTCACGTGGAGCTTCCCAACCCCCAAGGTCTGCAGGATGGCGTCCGACTACTCGAGGACGTGCGCGAGCCCTGACAGCATCCAGACGGGGGAGGCGCCCATCGTGTCGGAGACCTGCGAGGTCTACGTCTGGGGTAGCAACAGCAGCCACCAGCTGGTGGAGGGCACCCAGGAGAAGATCCTGCAGCCCAAACTGGCCGCGAGCTTCGCCGACGCACAGACGGTAGGATGGAGCGCCGCCGTTGGGCTGGGGTCGTGTTCCCCATGACGCCCACACCTTACAGCAGTTCCCATGCACTCACAAAAGGGCAAAAAAAAAGCACTGGAACTGCTTTCTGTGCTCTGGACATTTGACTCCAATACTGTCGCACATCAACTGCCGTCTCTTTAAAGGAATAAAACTAGAAACAACATTTTCAGACGTTTCATCTTTCTGATGTTTTTTTTAAACCATGTGTAGCAATGTTTAGATATACCTCTATTGGGTTTTCTAATGGTTACCCTACGATGATTCTCCAGGTTAGCCGTGTGATTAATGGTGTGCCAGCTTTCAGGACGATTCCTTTTCTGTAATTGCCTTGGCCACTCTAAAACGGTCGGTCCTGCCCATCAGATCGAGGCCGGGCAGTACTGCACCTTCGTCATCTCGTCTGACGGCTCGGTGCGGGCCTGCGGGAAGGGCAGCTATGGCCGGCTCGGCCTGGGCGACTCCAACAACCAGTCGACCCTTAAGAAGCTGACCTTCGAACCCCACCGAGCCATCAAGAAGGTGTCTTCATCCAAGGGCTCGGACGGCCACACCCTGGCCTTCACCACGGAGGGCGAGGTATTCAGCTGGGGGGACGGCGATTACGGCAAGTTGGGCCACGGAAATAGTTCCACGCAGAAGTACCCCAAGCTCATCCAGGGGCCTCTTCAAGGAAAGGTTTGTACCTTTTGGTAGAGTGCAGGCCTGGGTCACATGAACTTACATGACGTGCTGCTCACACTTACTCTGGTCTTTTCAACGTGTGGCTCAGTGGGCTAAGGCTCTGTGCCCGTGATCGGAAGGTCACCGGTTCGAGCCTGGCTTCGGCAAAGTAGTCGCATGTCTACAGGCCCTTAAGGCCCAGCTCTATGGCCCCACTGCAGGTGGCTACATAACTCTGATTAAGATTTAGATGTACTTTATTAATGCCTGGGGGAAATTCTGGTGCATGCAGTGGCAGGAACATAGTGTAGGGATGAACATACACATAGTGCCAAACAGACAAAGTGTGTCATAGTGCACAGGGTGCAAAAAATTGCAATATTACAAAAATAATTAAGTATTGTTTGAATAATATGGTATATGTGCATTAAATGATATATATGCTATTAAAAATCAGATAGCATATGACTTTACTGGTAGGCTGCTTCCTGGCGTGTGGTGTAGCTGGGGGTGGGGGGGGTGATTCGCTGGGAGGAGGCACAGTGGTGTCTGATAGCAGCAGGCAGGAATGATGACCAGTAGTGCCTTTTAGAACCCTGTGCTGGAATGAGCTGGTGGGTAAATGTGCTTCAGAATAGCGCCCCCCTGAGTGGATGGCCTGAATTGTTTATAATGTTATCCAGTTTCGCCAGCATCCTCTACTCTGTCACTGCCTCCAGTGGCTCCAGGGTCAGTCCCGTGATGGAGCTGGCCTTCCTGATGTGTTTACCCAGGCGTTTCATGTCGACCCGGACTGAAATCGCTGTCCCACCAGGCATCAAAAGCTCGCTGGCCACCAATGATAAAACATAGATGGCAGCCTGCTGCATGCATCAATCGGCTTGAGCCTCCTCAGAACGTAGAGTCTGCTCTGGTCTTTGGTGTACAGCCCTGCAGTATTGTACTCCCAGTCCAGTCTGCTGTTCAGGTGACCCATAGCTAGCTGTAGCCCTGCATCACCTCCACTTCCTCCCCCTGGATGGTGACTGGACTCAGGGGCTCCCTGTTAAGGCAGAAGCACAACTGCTGTAATAAATAGTGTATAGGATGTGATGCCATGAGACCATAAATAGTTACCATGTAATGAGTACATCCTCTTGCCATCTTCCCTCATTGTAAATTAGCATTGTGTGTGTCTTATAACTGTCGTATATCGGCGGGTAATGCAGCCGCCTTTACGGTCATCGCCGATCGCCGCCCCCAGTGTCTCTAATGCCCCCTAGTGTCCACGTTGTGTCTTGCAGGTGGTGGTGTGTGTGTCGGCGGGGTATAGGCACAGCGCTGCCGTCAGCGAGGACGGAGAGCTCTACACCTGGGGGGAAGGAGATTTCGGGAGATTAGGTAACGTTCGCCTGGGATCAGCATTCGTGCGTTTGGTCACAGAGTGAGAGCAGCGGCCTTGCTGACGGGACGGGGGCACGATGTGGTGTGTTTAGGGCATGGAGACAGTAACAGCCGAAACATCCCGACCCTGGTGAAGGACATCAGCAACGTGGGTGAGGTGTCCTGCGGAAGCTCTCACACCATCACGCTGTCCAAGGACGGCCGCACCGTCTGGTCTTTCGGAGGCGGCGACAACGGTGAGCGAGCCTTCGCCGTAACTCCGGCTCCGTGAAAACCGCGCCGCCAGACCGACACCGTCGTCACGCGCCTCTTCTTGCAGGAAAACTGGGGCACGGCGACACTAACCGGGTGTACAAACCCAAGGTGGTGGAAGCGCTGCAGGGCATGTTCATCCGGAAGGTCTGTGCCGGGAGCCAGTCTTCTCTCGCCCTCACATCCACGGGACAGGTAAGTGAGGGAAGTCGAGCTGAAACCCGTAGCTCTTGCCGTGTTACATTCGTCATGCGGGATTGTGGGTGATGCTATTAGTTGAGCCTCCTATGTTTCTCAGCCAAACGTCTTGGTAGCTCTGGATGGGAAGCCTGGCCCTCCTGTGTGTAGGGGTGCAGGGCGGGTGGCCAGGCTGCCTTACTGTGTGCACTGTCCTCCACAGGTCTACGCGTGGGGGTGCGGCGCTTGCTTGGGCTGCGGCTCCTCCGAGGCCACAGCTCTCAGACCAAAGCTCATCGATGAACTCGCCACGACAAGAGTGGTGGACATCTCGATCGGAGACAGCCACTGCCTGGCCTTGTCTCATGGTACTGCAGGCTTGTGGCACATCGACATCTCCGTCAGAAACAGCCGTTCTCACATGTTCTCACATGGTCCTGCAGGCTTGTGGCAGATTGACTTCTCCATCTGAAACAGCTGCTGTCACATGGTTATGTCTTTCTTGTAGGGTAGTGAAAGGCTGACTGGACAGGCTCTGTAATACCAATATAAGCTCTTCCATTAGTATCTCACCCCGTCATTGGTACCTTACTGAGGCCCAACCTGTTGTTCACCTGCAGACAATGAAGTATACGCCTGGGGTAACAACTCCATGGGGCAGTGTGGTCAGGGCAACTCTACTGGCCCCATCACCAAGCCCAAGAAGGTCATTGGCCTGGACGGGGTGGCCATCCAGCAGATCTCTGCAGGGACGTCACACAGCCTGGCGTGGACAGCCCTGCCCAGGGACAGGTGAGGACGTACCCCCAGTCCGCAGGACGTCGCGAACGGGTTGTGATGTGACCAGGGCTCATGGAAGCTTACCCTGGAAATTTAATAGGTTTCATAGGTCCCTGTAGGTAAAATAACAAAGTACAGTCTTGTTACCTCTGAATACCTGCCTGCCTGTTGCTGGACGCCTTAATCCATCTGTTATCCCGGATCTCGGTGTCATTACCCTCAAGGCAAGTGGTGGCCTGGCATCGGCCGTACTGTGTGGACCTGGAGGAGAGCACCTTCTCGCACCTGCGCTCCTTCCTGGAGCGCTATTGCGACGGCATCAACAGCGAGGTTCCGCCCCTGCCCTTCCCGTCGTCACGGTGAGCGCCGAATCCCGTTATGGTGTGTGCCCGGTGATGGAGCACAACGATCTCACCCCCCAGATCTCTCTCTGCTTTTTTAATCAGTGATAATCTCTTTATTTAGTTTGTAGTATTATCAGTAGGATAAATAGGGCTTTTTATTCTCATAGGGAGCATCATAACTTCCTGAAGCTGTGTCTGAAGTTGCTGTCCAATCACCTGGCCTTGGCCCTGGCGGGGGGCGTGGCCACCAGCATCCTGGGGCGCCAAGCCCGGCCGCTGAGGAACCTGCTCTTCCGCCTCATGGACTCGTCCGTGCCTGATGAAATCCAGGAGGTGAGTTCGGATGAGTGCAGAGGCCAACCCCCCCCCCCCCCCCCCTCGCCAATATGCATGGGAGGGGGCTCCTTGATAACATGGAATTACCCTGCTGTGTGTTTCAGAGCGTCATAGAGACCTTGTCCGTGGGGGCCACCATGCTGCTGCCTCCTCTCCGCGAGCGGATGGAGCTGCTGCACTCCCTGCTGCCCCAGGGGCCTGACAGATGGGGCAGCTTATCTAAAGGACAGGTAGGCATTCTGCCCCCTGCAGGCAGTGGGGGTCACTTGTTAGCGTCAAGTCAACTGGGCTTTATTGTCATATTTAGGTGTACAGTGGATGGAATAACACCCCCCCCCCCCGGAGCGTGGTGTGACATACAGATAGCGAGTGATGATGACAGTGATGATGGTGGTAATAATAGCTGCCAAGGGTGCGAGTTGCAAGTAATGACAGCATCCAGTTTGTCTGCCCTCGGGCTGGGCAGACTGTTACTGTGGTGTTGGATTTAGGCATCGATCGGTGGGAAAGGACAGCCTGACTGTCAAAAGGAAGCAGCCAGATGAGAAGCGCATTTCATACCACTGAAAACTCACAGTCAGCAGTCTGCAGTGCGCTGTGTGCGACCTGCTCATAACCGGGTCACCCTGCTACAGCTTACGGCTGTGGGGACAGATTTAAAGAGGGCGGTAACTGTGTGGGACACGGTGGCAGAACCGGCCTCTTCCTGAGTCATTACAGTTCTGGGCATGTGTTTTGTAGAGGATGCAGCTGGACATCATCCTGACCAGCCTGCAGGACCACACCCACGTGGCCTCGCTGCTGGGGTTCAGCGCTCCTCAGGACAGCCCCGAGACGGCGCCCTTTGGCCTGGCTGCTGACACACCCTACGGCGCCCCCGAGGGCCACCCCGACACACACCTGGCCGAGATCCTGATGAAGACCCTGCTGAGGAATCTGGGCTTCTACACGGTGAGGTTCCACCCCTCCCCCCCGAAAAAAAAAAATCTGGCTCTTGGGCTCCTCTCACTCTATACTTATTATTGAATTCGGAAACACGGTCCTCCGGTCTCCAGGATCAGGCCTTCGGGGAGCTCGAGAAGAACAGCGACAAGATCCTCCAGGGGACGTCGTCTGCGGACAGCAACCAGCCGGCCCACCTGCATGAGCTGCTGTGCTCGCTGCAGAAGCAGCTGCTCGCCTATTGCCACATCAACAGCGTCACTGAGGTGAGGCCTCTTCATTTACCCTCTGTAATCCATACAGGCTTTAAACTCTCAGGCCTCTGAGGTCTCTCATTTGTTTTTAAATGATCATATCTCTTTGTAGGCCGTGCCTAATCAATACTGGGTTTTTATGGTCAGGCATCCATCCGCATTACACTTTAATGCGCTAAATGCTATATTAATGACTACATGTGCGTATTGGGCACATTTACATCCCTTGTAGACCCTTCCCTCAGGCCTGGTGACCATGCCCTGGGGCCCTGCAGATGCCACCCCCAGCCCTTGCAGGCCCTTCCCGCAACCCTGACTCGTACCTCTCTCTCTCCCCTCTGCCTCAGACCTCTAGCAGTGTGGCTCTGTTGCACAAGCATCTCCAGCTCCTGCTGCCTCACGCCACGGACATCTTCTCCCGCTCAGCCGCGCTGCTGAAGGAGAGCTCTTGGAATGGCGGTGTCCGGGAGAAACTGAGAGGTACGGCCCGCACGCCCGGCGAGTCGCGTCCCCGGCGAGTCGCGCCCTCGGCGTCCCCGGCGAGTCGCGCCCTCGGTGTCCCCGGCGGCACCCTCTCAGTAAGCGCCGCTGCTCGTGCCTCTGCAGACGTGCTGTACGTGTCGGCGGCCGGCAGCATGCTGTGTCAGATCGTCAGCTCCCTGCTGCTACTGCCCGTGTCCGTGGCCCGGCCCTTGCTCCGCTCCTTGTTGGACCTGCTGCCCCCGCTGGACCGTCTCAACCGACTGCTGCCGGCAGCCAGCCTGCTGGAGGACCAGGAGCTGCAGTGGCCCCTTCACGGTGAGGCCCGCGTCCCGTCCCCCTCGCGTCCGAATGAATCTGAGCTGGTAGATGGGTGTGGTGGGTTTTCCATGAACCGGGGACCTCCTGCTCCCCCAGGCACCCACGACTTGGTGGATCCCGCGGGCACGCCGCTGCCCCAGCCGGCACAGTCCTGGGTGTGGCTGGTAGACCTGGAGCGCACGGTGGCCCTGCTGGTGGGCCGCTGCCTGGGGGGCATGCTGCAGGGGGCCACCACCTCCCTGGAGGAGCAGGACATGGCCTACTGGCTGAAGACGCCGCTCTTCAGTAACGGACTGGAGATGGACATCCCTCAACTTGGTACGCTCCGGGGGCCTCAGGGTTGTCCTGTGGGGGCCGGGCCCCATCTTAACGTGCTCCGTCTGTCGCCCAGATCACTGCATCACCTCCTTGCTGGAGGCGGCCCTGTCTGGCAACGAGGAGAAGAAGCCCTTTGAATGCACCTTACGTCCCGGGTTGACCATGCTGGTGGATCTGGCCTTGGGTTCGACCAAGGAGCCCACCAACAGCCTGTGGATGAACATGCAGGACTATGCTGTCAGCAAAGGTTAGAGTGGGAGAGTTTTATTCTGTTGTATAACATGCAAGGTTTTTGAATGGTTGTGGGTTTGAATCCTGCACCGCTCTGTGTTATGAGGAGCTGCATGTTCTATCTGTGTTGTGTGTGTTTGTCCTCCATCCAAAGCCTGCCTTGTAGCTCTGTCTTTTGCACTGTGCTGCCTGTGACAAGCTCCAGGTCTCCCTACTGCTCATAGCCAGGAAAAACCTTTGGAACATGGCTAATTATTCTAATGAATGCTGGGAATGTTGCTCTTTTCAGACTGGGATAGTGCTACGTTGAGCAATGAGTTGCTCCTGGATACGGTGTCCAGGTTCATCTTGGCCGCGTTGCTGAAGCACACTGGGCTGCTGGGCCAGGCTTGCGGAGAGGGGAGGTGCGTATCCTGTGGTGAGGCCTCCGCATCGCCGCCCCCCCTCCGCCATGACGGTCTGACACCTGCTCCGTGTCCCACAGGTACCAGCCCTGTAAGAGCCTAACTGAGGTTTACCGCAGCGTGTACAAAGTCCGCAACCGACTGCTGGCCTGTAAAAACATGGAGCTCATCCAGACGCGCTCATCGTCTCGGGACAGGCGGGTATGTCACCCGCCCACCGTTTCCTTCCTCCCTCTGCCACCCGCCACAATGGCCTGGATACGACGGGGCTGCTCTCTTTCAGATTTCAGACAACCAGGAGTCCCTGGAGATGGACCCCCAGGAGCACACCTTCACGCGCACCATCGACGAGGAGGCGGAGCTGGAGGAGCGGGCCGACCGGGACCGCGAGCGGGAGCGAGAGGAGGGCCACCCGGAGCAGGATGAAGAGGAGGAGGAGCGTGAGGTCATGACGCCCGGGAGTGAGTATGGCGAGGGGGCCGCTCCTGCGACCCTAAAGCTGGCGGTACTGCCCGGGTGTAAAGGTGGGAGCTGGGGGGGGTGCTATGGTGCGACTAATGGTGCAGCGGGGGTGATCAGTGATGTTTTATTCCTGGCCACAAGGAGGGGGCCAGAGCTTTAACTTAAACTGGAATTAAAATAATCATATAAACAGCCACTGGCAGAAATGATCAGAGAGCTGTGTTCACACATGATGTAAAAATGTAAAATCACATGTACGACTGGTGTCGCTATGTGTGGTATCGGGCTTCGTGTTTTACTCATGGCGCCTGATCAGCGTGTCTCGCCTCCTTTAAGACCCCATAAGCGCGTCCGAGCTACGCTCTGCGAGGGTCCCGGTAGCAGCGTGAGCTTCGGGCTGCCCGCCGCCAGCCCCTCTAATTCCCGCTCTGTGTCTCTTGTGTCGCACGGTGCAGAAATCTTTCAATGTTTCCTCTCAGCGCGGGAAGTGGCTCGCGGCCGCGAGCGCGATCGGGCCAGCGGCAGCGGGGGCAGCGCCCTGGGCTCCAGCCCCGTGCCCCGAGGGCAGGAGGACCCCCCCCACGCCCCGGCGGACCGGCGTGGCAGCTCCGGGCTCCCCGAGGGACAGGACCTGTACACGGCGGCCTGCAACTCGGTCATCCACCGCTGTGTGCTGCTGGTGCTGGCCGTGAGCCCAGTTCTGGCTGAGCCATTGAAGCAGCACCAGGAGGACGGGCCTGTCCCAGGACCGAGCGGCAGCTCCCAGGAGGTGCTGGGCATCATGACCAGGTGGATGGCACCGCATTTTTTACATTTCACCCCCCTAATTATGAGTGATTGCACCATCCCTGCAATAATGTCCCAGGGTAACCCTTTAGGGCCTGGGGGGTGCCTTGGGGATATGAAGGGGGCCGTGCTCGACCGTTCAGTGTTATCGAAACGATCAAGTGATCCCAGCCTCCTGTGTTTAGGAGCGAGAGCCTGAGCGCCGAGAGCCGTGCGGTGCAGGCCAGCCCCAGCTTCAGGCTCATCAAGTCCCGGAGCGAGTCAGACCTGTCCCAGCCCGAGTCTGATGAGGAGGGCTATACACTGGTGAGCGGCTCCCCCTTGTGGCAGATTTAGGTGGCTGCACTAATTTACTGCTCAATACATCTGGACAGCTAGGCATGATGAAATCGAGGATCGGTACGAGCTTTTAATGTCTAACGTTACAGCGAATGAATTTTCTGATTTAATCTTTTTTTTTTCCCCCCAGAGTGGAAGAAGAAACGTGGACTTGGACTTGGCCTTTTCTCACAAAAAGAGAGGTAAGATCAAAGTCATAGTGTTACTTCAGGTTACACTGAATACAAATTAGTTTTTAATGACCATGAGGTTTTCCATGTTCTCTAACTTTGTGAGTTAAATGTTAGACTGTATCATAATCTTTTACAGAAGACTGTGATACTGTGGCTGGGTCTGTCTGTTACACAGTGGAAGAGGGTTTATTGATGAGCTGAAATGTTGGGAGTGTCAGTGTGAGGTGTGATCAGGGCGCTCTGCCGGCCCCTCTACTCTGAGCAGCTCCAGGCCACTGCCGGCAGGCCAAACCACACCCCCCCACCCCTCCCCCCACACTGACAGCCGCTCTGTCCCCAGTGCATTGGTTCGGCATTCTCCATCTGTGAATAAAAAGAAATAAACACCGCCGTCCAGCATGCGAACTCCAGTGGAGTTCATACTTAAGATGCTTGACGTTGCTGTGGGATTTAGGTCAGCAGATTTATACGTAGGTACAGAGAATTTCAGCACTTTAAACGGGAGTCTAATTCAAGAAATCCCAGAGTTTTGTAGCAGAACCATCTTCAATAATAGTTATTAAATCCAATTTATTTATGACCAAAGGGTTCCTCAATTAGACGGGGTTCTTCTGTTCCCGGAATGACGATCAGAAGTACCTCCTTTCTTTCTGTGTCAGCAGACAGGCAGTTTCGTTCTGTGCTGTCAGACAGCAGCCTGGTGAATAACTGCGGGGTTACGCTTGGCTGACCCATAGGATCGTACAGAATGTCTCTGACTCCGGGTCTGTGACTCTGATAGGGAGGGACAGTGGTTTTAGGGAGCTGAGCAAAAGACAGGCCTTGGAAAGAGAGACTCATGAAGCATTTACAGTATCTAACCCCCCCCCCCAGCCGCTCTGTATTCCTGTCTGGCTCTGTTCACATTTTTCTCCACGGAGCCTCATTTGATTGGGTGATTTGGTGACTTGTCCTGCTTGTTAGTGGAATGGCTCTCGCCCCAGGGCGCCCCATGGCCCCCGCCCCAGGGCGCCCCATGGCTCCTCGTCGGCCCCGAATGCCGTAGTCTCTGTAGCTTAGCTTTCACTAGCTGCTCGTTCATTAAAAGACTCTGCGTTTCGTCTCCACTTACTGCCCTGCCCCCATGGTATATTTTGCTTTGATCATGGGAAGAGCCCAGTGTATGTGCGCCTTTATCAGGGTACGAATCATAAGCTTTAATCCGAGCAGTCATGGACCCTTCGGCCATCCATACAACCTGCTACATTTCCGCGTCGCCCCCCGCACCCCTCTCTGAAAAGCCATGCCACCTTCCCCCGCCCCAGGGCCACTGCACAGTTCTCCGGAGACCCTGGCCGACTCCTGGGTCCGAGCCAAGCACAGCCGAGACCACCTGTACGATCTGCCGGGTTCCTACGAAGACTCGGACCTGGACCTCAGCAAGTCGCTGGGAGTGCACGTGATCATAGAGAACGTCGTCAGCTTTGTCAGTGGCGACGTGGGGAATGCTCCGGCCTTCAAGGAGCCCGAGGAGAGCATGTCCACCAGCCCGCAAGGCACCATCATCGCCATGGAGCAGCAGCAGAGCCGGGCTGAGGTGAGGGCTGGCCCTAGAGAGACGCGATGGGGTCTCAGCCGCATCAGGCGGACATCCGTTTAGACAGTATGCATAACTGTAGGTGAATCACAGCTGTAATGGGGTGCTAACTCCTGAAAACAGCCACGTTTTTCAGTTCCTCTGTCATCAGTTAATGTTTGAGGTTCTAGCTCCCCCTAGTGGTCTGCCGTGTTAGTGTACATAAAGCACCTGTTCTAAGAGAGCTTCTCTGTTGGACTACAGCGGCGCCTCGAGGCCCTGCATCAGATCGTGGTGCTCATATCCGGCATGGAGGAGAAGAGCAGCCAAGACATGGGCGCGGGCTGCCTAGGGGCCAGTTTCCAGTCAGCCTCACTTCTCACCTCTGTCAGGCTGCAGTTCCTGGCCGGCTGCTTCGGCCTGGGCACCGTGGGCACCGGGGTGGCCAAAGGAGAGAGCGTCCAGCTCCATCACTACCAGGTGGATTATATTATAACATGCCAGATTTAAGGTAGTCTGCGCTAATTGTGAGTGAAGATAAAGTATCTTTAAACTAGGATACCTTCAATGTGACAAGTTAACCAGCTAAGCAAGAAATCCAGCTTCATGATACAGGCACCAGTTCCCTGCTTAGTTCAGGGTATCCCAGTTTAAATGGACTTTATCTTCATTCACTTACATTTAGCCCAGACTACATGAAATCCAACAACTAATCAACTAATTATGTATTGTGTTTGCATGTATTCAGCCAATAGTGTTCCAGATAGACTGTTGCCAGTACGCTCACAACATACAGGAAAAATATGTATGATTTTGCAAATGTTTTTGACCGTTAAACTTTATGCGCTTTACCTGCAATAGAATGTTAGGGGATTTACAGTTAGCTGAACTGTATTTAGTGGAAGCTAATTGGTCTGCTAGCGGTTTTCATAGTTTATGGAAATGCTAATCTGCTAACGAAAACGTTAGCTTCGCTAATTAGCAGTTAGTGGATTGCCGGAACCCTAACCTACCACCACGTAATATTGCCGTAGTATTGACAGTGCATTGACAGTGCATGCTGTTTTGGTCCAGGATGGCATTAGAGCTGCAAAGAAGAGCATCCAGGTGGACATTCAAACAGCAGTGCACAAGATCTACCAGCAGCTCTCCCTGACCCTGGAGAGAGCCCTGCAGGCCAACAAGCACCACATAGGTAAAGCTTGCCTTGAGGAATGATCAAAGTTGCCGTATACTTGTATCCTGTTTTAGCACTGCCGTCATGGGTATACTGTATCGATGTGGCCATTTTGGCTTTTCAGAAGCACAGCAGCGCCTACTGCTGGTGACGGTGTTCGCGCTGAGCGTGCGCTACCAGCCGGTGGACGTGTCCCTGGCCATTTCCAGCGGGCTGCTGAATGTGCTGTCTCAGCTCTGTGGCACAGAGACCATGCTGGGCCAGCCGCTGCAGCTGCTGCAGAAGCCTGGGGTGTCCCAGCTCAGCACGGCCCTCAAGGTGGCCAGCACCCGGCTGCTGCAGATCCTGGCCATCAGCACTGGGTGAGCCTCCCGACGGATTGGCCGCGGGCCCTCAGGTCTGTGCCCAGTGCGCTCTGTGTAACCGCCGTCTCTCGCGATGTGCGCCGTGTAGGACGTATGCTGATAAGCTGAGCCCCAAGGTGGTGCAGTCCCTCCTGGACCTGCTGTGCAGTCAGCTGAAGAACCTGCTCTCTCGAGCGGGCGTGAGCTTGCTGCCTGGAGACAGGGACCATGAGGAGAAGAAATCCGAGGAGAGCTCCGACCCAGAAAAGAAGGATTTCCGAGGTAGTCGCTTCTTGTCCGATGCTTCCAGCATTTCTGGTATTGAGATCGTTCTTCCTTCCAGTGTCGTGTGCTCTGACTGGCATCGAGGCTTCGGTCAACTCATCGTGTGTCTGTCTAAATGCGTGTAAAATCCAAATGTCGTTGGAGGTGTTGATGAGTCGGCCGGGTCTGTCTCTCTGTTACAGCTCTCCTTCGTAAACAGCACACAGCGGAGTTGCAGCTGGGAGATTTTTTGGTTTTTCTTCGGAGGGTGGTGTCCTCCAAAGCCATCCAGTCCAAAATGGCCTCCCCAAAGTGGACAGAGGTGCTTCTCAATATTGCGGCGCAGAAATGCAGTTCAGGTTAGACACCACGCCGGTTGTCAGTATGAGAGAGAGAAAAGCATGCTGATAACGTGTGAAGGAACCTGTGGATTGAAAGGCTAATCGTGGCATCATTGTTTTCTTAGGGGTCCCCCTGGTGGGCAATCTGAGAACGCGGCTCCTTGCGCTTCACGTCCTGGAGGCCGTCCTCCCGGCCTGCGAGTCAAGTGTCGAGGATGACCAGATGATGCAGGTGGGCTTTGCTGAAACACCCGCTTTGCGTAAATGGTGTTAAGTTGCTGGTCTGGATGTGCTGATCGCTTGGCTGCCTTGGCCCTTCAGGTGGTCGAGCGCCTGTTTTCCCTCCTGTCTGACTGCATGTGGGAGGCTCCTATCGCACAAGCTAAGCATGCCATCTGCATCAGAGAGAGAGAGCAGGAGTTAAAACTTCAGGTACCAGCGGCTTTTACACACCTGACGCATTCCCGTATCCCAGTGCGATTGTGTGTCTTTAAAGCATTTTATGTGCTATGGCTTTTCTGTGCAGGGGGAGGCAGAGGAGGAGGACGAGAACCTCCCCATTCAGGAGGTGTCTTTTGACCCCGAGAAGGCGCAGTGCTGCGTGGTAGAAAATGGCCAGGGCCTGACCCACGGCAGCGGCGGCAAGGGCTATGGCCTGGCCTCTACGGGGATTTCCTCGGGATGCTATCAGTGGAAAGTACGACACTCTGGCTGGCACAGGCCCACACATGCTGCATTCCTACATAATTACGATTGTGTTCTGTTGGACGGAGCTATATTCTTACTGCACAATTGCTGGCATTTTCAGGCTGCATAAAAGCCTTATCCTGAAGCATTTAGTTCTTAATATAACTAAAAATAATGAAATGACATTAGTAGACTCCAAGGCTTCAGATTACAGCCCTGGATGATCTCAGAGGCTCCTACCTAAGATACATTTAAAGGGGCAGCAGTGCTTTCTGACAAAGCTTATGGGGTAAATACCAGCAAGACTAACACTGTTTGTCTACTGGTAACTGATTTTAAAGGGATTGGTCTGAAAGGGATATTTATGCAAGTATGATATTCATGCATTGTGGTGTAGGGCACACTAAAGCATTATATATGCAGCGTGGGGCACACTGAAGCATTAGATATGCAGCGTGGGGCACACTGAAGCATTAGATATGCAGTGTGGCGCACACTGAAGCATTAGATATGCAGTGTGGCGCACACTGAAGCATTAGATATGCAGTGTGGCGCACACTGAAGCATTATATATGCGATATAGTGTACATTAAAGCAGAATACATGTAGTGTAGTGCACACTAAAGCAGTATACCTGCTGCGTAGCGCACACTAGAGCAGTATATCTGCAGCGTAGCGCACACTAGAGCAGTATACCTGCAGCGTAGGGCACACTAGAGCAGTATACCTGCAGCGTAGGGCACACTAGAGCAGTATACCTGCAGCGTAGGGCACACTTGAAAGTGAATCCCATGTAGTACACTTCAAGGTGGTAGTCATGATTGTGATTTGTCTTGGCAGTTCTACATCGTTAAGGAGAACCGTGGTAATGAGGGAACCTGTGTGGGTGTTTCCCGCTGGCCGGTGCACGATTTCAACCACCGCACCACGTCGGACATGTGGCTGTATCGGGCCTACAGTGGGAACCTGTACCACAACGGTGAGCAGACGCTCACCCTGCCCAGCTTCACTCAGGGAGACTACATCACGTGCGTGCTGGACATGGAGGCACGGACCATCTCCTTTGGCAAGAATGGAGAGGTGAGGGAGGCGTGGTCCGTCCTTAACTGCTCAGTTTCTCAAATGAAAGACTATTGCAAACAAAAGCTGTTGAGGATTTCCCTGAGTGGATTTTTCGGCTGACGTTATTTTGGTTGATTTTAGTCTTGGCGCTTGTTTTGATGAAAAATATATTGATAAACGCGATTATATGTGATTTTGTCCAAACCTTTCGTCCCGTGACTTCAGTGCCGTTGGATGTTGAAATACCCGAGGGAGAAGTTAAATTACATTTTTGTGTAGAATGTCATGCATCTTCGAAGGCCCGGTCAGCGGAGATTCGGGTCTTTGTGGACATGCTTTTAGTTGGTCCTGGCAGTTATGATTTTTTTCTCATTGGTAACCACAGGAGCCCAAACTGGCCTTTGAAGATGTGGATGCCACTGAACTGTATCCATGTGTGATGTTCTATAGCAGTAACCCCGGAGAGAAGGTAAAGGGAGGAGCCACAGTGCTCCTCATTTAGAAAGATATCGTCAATTCTGTGCAAACTGTAAAGCAGCGTTTCCCAATCCAGTCCTCGGGGATCCAGAGTCAGTCCATGTTTTTGCTGCTTCTGAGCCCTCTACCAGGTAGTCCACATTTTAACCTGGGAGCTGGGAGGGAGCAAAAATGTGGACTGTCTCTGTGTTCCTGAGGGCTGGGAAACACTGCTGTAAAGTACTGAGTTAGATAACTGAGGCTCTGTGTCCTCCTCAGGTGAAGATCTGTGACATGCAGATGAGGGGTACCCCCCGGGACCTGCTTCCAGGGGACCCCATCTGCAGCCCCATGGCCACGGTCCTGGCGGAGGCCACCACGCAGTTAATCCGAATCCTGCACCGCACCGATCGCTGGACCCTCCACATCAACCACAATATGATGGAGCGCCTGCATAAGATCAAGGTCTGCTTTCGTGAGGGGGGCGGAGCAGGCGGGTGGGGCCAGAGGCTGCGCAAGAGTCGCTCTGTTCAGAGCCGCGAGGAGCACGACGTCCGCGACGAACCCCGGGAGGAGGAGCGGGGCCGGCACGGAAGGCACGGCCCGGGCGAGCTCTCGGAGGCGCAGCTGAAGGCGCTGTGCATGGACGTGTGGCCCGTACTGGCCGTCATCGGCGGCGTGGACGCCGGCCTTCGTGTGGGTGGCCGCTGTGTGCACAGGCAGACCGGCCGGCATGCTACCCTGCTGGGCGTGGTCAAGGAGGGCAGCACGTCCGCTAAGGTGCAGTGGGATGAGGCCGAGATCACCATCAGGTACTGCCGGTGACTGAGCACTCAGGCCGCCACTGCCGCCTTAACCCTGTGTGTCTACTGACCCCTACTGCCCTTTATTAACATAAATGCTCACTCAGATGCTTGCCTATGCCTCTTAGCAAATTTGGGGGAATGCATTACCTACCGCCCACATTTCTGAAGTAGAGTATCTCGTAGCACCAGCCTTTTTTCTTAAACTCTTAGAAAGCTGAGGTCTAAATTTTACTTTGTGTTGACCTGTTTTCTGGGTTGTAGCTGTTTTTTAGTGAGAGTTTTACTTGCACAAAAAATGTTCTGAGGGCAGAACAAAAATGATTGGTTCAGAGAGATAACCAATCAGATTGTAGAGGAGGTGGGTCCAAGCAAGCAGAAGAGGTGGGGCCAACCAATCAGATGTCTTGGTCTTACCTCCTCTAGTTGCTTGGATCCACCTCCTCCTCTCCTGGACCAATCTATCTGCCCTTTAAACAATTCTGCTCAAGTAAAACTAACTTCTATTACTTTATTCTGTGTTTAACTCTTACCAGTGTCTGTATAACAAGGCATGCCACATAACCTGTAATTCCTTTACTTTGCCCTTATTTATACCCCTCTATTCCCGTCATTCTGTTCTTCTCCCATCATGCACCTGCATTTTAAGTTCCGCCTTCGTTTTGCTTGCTCTCCTGTATCTCTTCTCCTCTCTGTCCCTCACTCTTCTTTCCTCTGTCACTCTGGTCTTCATTAAAGCTTCCCAACTTTTTGGTCACCTAGTGACACTCCGCTGTACAACCTGGAGCCCTGCGAGCCGCTGTCCTTCGACGTGTCGCGCTTCCGGGGACTGACGGCCTCGCTGCTGCTGGACCTCACCTGCCTAGCCAGTGTGCACGAGGACGCGGGGAGGCTGAGCGCCCGCCGGCATGACCGCAAGCACCGGCACGAGTCTGAGGAGAAGGCGGAGCCCCAGGCTGAGGAGAGGGAGGGCGGCAGCGGGGGCAGTGACCTGCGCGTGTCTCACAGTCTAGACGAGGTCAAGGCTCACGCCGAAGCGGACAGCCAGCACGGCGCCGCTGATGGCCGCAAGAGGCCCCATGAGCACAGTGGGCGGGGCCATGACGTGGCGCAGTCGGAAATGCATGCCGTGCAGCTCTCCTACCTCTACCTGGGCGCCATGAAGACGCTGAGCGCCCTGCTCAGCTGCAGCAAGTACGCCGAACTGCTGCTCATCCCCAAGGCCTTGACGGAGAGCAGCCACAACTCGGACTGCGCCACTTCGCCCGTCTCACAGGACGAGGTGGAGATGCGGGCCGCCCTGCAATTCCTCATGCGGCACATGGTCAAGCGGGCGGTTATGCGCTCGCCCATCAAGCGTGCACTGGGGCTGGCCGACCTGGAGAGGGCACAGGCCATGATCTACAAGCTGGTGGTCAGCGGTCTTCTGGAGGATCAGTTTGGGGGAAAGGTGAAACCTGGTGAGTAGGTGGAACACAATCTGCATTTTCTGCAGCAGGTTATAAAAGTAAGGGGCCTGACTTAATGTTTCCTTTCCTGATAAATTGCCTGTTTTCATCTGGTCTCTGGCTGCCCAAGTTGCTTGCACACGCCAGGCATGTTACACTTCGCACTTTGCATCCTGTGCGGAGTAGGAGAGCCGCGTTTACCTCCGTACTACATGGACTAACTCGCCGATGCCTCGAGCAATCAGGCTGGACTCGCTCTATCTGGGTTTCGGGTCCCCTGACTGTCTCTCGTGGTCTGTGCCAGAGGTGGACGCGGAAGCAGAAGAGGCCGAGGGCGGCCAGCAGGCGCAGACGCCGGTGACCACCAGCCCCTCTGCCTCCAGCACGACGTCCTTCATGAGCAGCTCCCTGGAGGACACCACCACGGCCACCACGCCTGTGACCGACACGGAGACCGTACCGGCTTCTGAGTCTCCCGGCGTCATGCCTCTCAGTCTGCTCAGGTCTGACCGCACCCACACTGTCCCACTGAGATTTTTATATAAAACCATATTGATTTAAACTTTGCTATTTAAGTAGTTTTTCCCAGTGTTTGTTTCTTAAAGCTTATGTCTGTTGATTTTTGAACAGGCAAATGTTCTCCAGCTACCCGACCACGACCTTGCTGCCGACACGTCGGGCACAGACCCCCCCAGTGTCCTCGCTCCCCACCTCCCCTTCTGACGAGGTGGGCAGGCGGCAGAGCCTGACCTCCCCCGACTCCCAACTGACCAGGCCGACAAACCGCACAGGTACGCCTCCCTCCCCAGGGCACCCATTCTCCGGCATGGAAGCTGACTCCCATGTCACCTCTGAACTGGTCCCACGCAGTCCTACAGTGAACACCACAGCAAACTCTCATCAAAGGACTTTTATTGGTATTTCTTGGTATTTTTTTATGTCAAGACTTGTCCAAACAGCCGTGCAGTGTAATGTAATTACTCTGAATCCCAGATTTTGTCCTGGGGTCACATGTGCCCGGTGCAGGGTGCTGTGTTCTAATGACCGTCTCTTCGACAGCCCTGTCAGACCCCAGCAGCAGGCTGTCTACCTCACCCCCGCCCCCCGCCATCGCGGTACCCCTACTGGAGATGGGCTTTTCCCTGCGTCAGATCACTAAGGCCCTGGAGGCCACGGGTAAGAAGCATTTCTTTGTGCCTATATACTCATAATTTTCCTTCACCATAATGTAGCAAGTAAACTGCGTTCTAAAGCTGTGTATTGTTACCTTACACATTTGGGATGTCTGTGAGCGTTAATATGGTTTCATTTGAAGGCAGCGGGGTTTCCACCAGTTTCTGTGGTTAGCCGTATCGTGCACTGATAGGCGTTGCGTCTGGAAGGGCGTCTGATGATGGCTCTGCTCGCAGGAGCCCAAGGGGAAGCTGACGAGCAGAACATCACGGTTCTGGCCATGTGGATGATCGAGCACCCGGGCACGGAGGACGAAGAGGAGCGCCATGCAGCGGGAGGGATGGACTCTTGTCACGGAGCCATGGCCTCGGGGGGAGGGGGCAAATCCTTAGACAGGAACTACCCCACCTCGCCCGGCGACATCCCCAATGCAGACGCTGCTGAGATGGAGGAGGGATTCAGCGAGAGGTACCACTTCAAAACCGTGGCTGACACTTACACTCTGGTGTTTGCCTTGGAGGCACATGATGCAGGTCTGCTGCCTTGGTGATGATTACAGTAAAATGTACTGATTCACTACCCTCCCACCCCCCCCCAGCCCAGATGGCCTGGACCAGGAGAGCGCCTCTGCCTCCAGCGGTCCCACCCCCAGGGGGCGCTGCAGTGCCAGCAGGAAGCATCGCTTTGACTTGGCAGCTCGAACCCTGCTGGCCCGGGCTGGTGAGACCTCATCCCCCACCACTCTCATCCATTTACCTGTGTGGCATTTAAGACTCTCAGATTGAAATAAACATATTGGCCTACAGGTGGCGCTGTTTAAGGTTATGTTAATAATAAGCTGATCCTTTGTCCCCCCCCCCCCCGCAGCAGGACTGTACCGCTCTGTCCAGGCGCATCGCGGCCAGGGTCGACGTGACGGTTCGAGCCTGCAACAAGATCCCGGCGCCCTCTACGACTTCAACCTCGATGAGGAGCTTGAGATTGACCTGGATGACGAGACTATGGAAGCCATGTTTGGCCAGGACCTGGCCAATGACACGGACATTCTGGGAATGTGGATCCCGGAGGTATTGGACTGGCCAACATGGGTGTGTGTGCCTGCAGCGAGGGCTGCTTTTGCTTCCCTTATTCGTTTTCATCCATCTCAGCCCTCCATCTAGGAACCAGGCGCTGGTGTCGTTTCTCTGTCTGCCATGTCGCTTTCAGTAAAAGAGTAAATAGCTGGAACAGCACTTTGAGAAGCTAGAGCGCTGAAGCCAGATACGTGAAAAGCCTCGGCAGCATCGGCTGGCTTTGCTGAGGGTCACCACTTCAATGTGTGCTGCTTGCGCTCTGCAGAAGCGTATGGTGTGCGCCTGATGGGCTGCCCCCTGCTGGTCGCACTGCGCTAACACAGCACTGGCACCCTATGCTTTTTTTTTTTATGTTATGTTTTTTCAGCATGTCTGTGAGGCAGAGGAGCGGGAGGAGGTCGTGGTTTGCGAGCTGTGCGAGGCCAGCGTGGCTAATTTCAACCAGCACATGAAGAAGAACCACCCCGGCTGCGGCCGCAGCGCCAACCGGCAGGGTTACCGCAGCAACGGCTCCTACGTGGACGGCTGGTTCGGCGGCGAGTGTGGCAGCGGGAACCCCTACTACCTACTGTGCGGTGGCTGCAGGGAGAAGTACCTCTCTGTCAAGACCAAGGCCAAAGTGCCTGCGCTGGAAAGGTCAGCATCTGCCTGCCTTAGGGGCGGAGCCTGGAGTCTGATCTCAGGCTCACCCTGTTTTTATTGACTTTGGATGGACTCGCTTTGGGTAGGTTGGTGGTCCCACACCTTCAGGTTCCCAAACCCGCTCTGTGTGTGCAGAGTGTACGTGCTCTCCTCTGTCAGCGCGGGTATCGTGTACGTGCTCTCCTCTGTCAGCGCGGGTATCGTGTACGTGCTCTCCTCTGTCAGCGCGGGTATCCTCGGGGCATTTGTGCCCTGTGCTTGCTGGCACCATGGCCTCACCGTGACCCCCATCGCACTCAATAAGTGATGGATGAATGGGTACCTCAGTGGATGACATAATGCTTCACTGCTTTTAGCAGAATATATTGCACTTGCCGTAGGTATTCAGAGTTGTTTTTTTTTTGGTGACATTACAGGTACAAAGGACAGGCACCAGACCTGCTGGGGAAGCAGGACAGTGTATATGAGGGTGAGTACGCCGTGGCTGCCACGGCTGCCCCCCAGAGCGGGTCGTTCTCGGCCCTGGGGTCTGGGGTCGTGGGAGCCGACGGGCCATGTGCTGAATCTCTCACCACAGAGGACTGGGACATGCTGGACGTTGACGAGGACGACAAGTTGACGGGAGAGGAGGAGTTTGAGCTGCTGGCTGGTCCGCTGGGCCTCAGCGAGCGTCGGATGGTACCTGAAGCCGTGCAGTTCCCCGACAGTGACCCGCTCGGGGCCTCGGTTGCCATGGTCACCGCCACCAACAGCATGGAGGAGACGCTGCTGCAGATAGGTGATGAAACACGTCAGACACCCCCAGGGCCTATTAATCCCCCCCCCTTGGTTCCCTTGCAGCTACATACCGTGGTTGTTTGATGCACTAAGCATGGTAGTCTTTCTGGAAGGATTGCCGTGTTCATGTTCCTGTGGATTCTGACCATCGACGGCACTGTCGATCCTCCACAGGCTGCCAGGGCTCCGTGGAGAAGAGCTCCTCGGGCCGCGTTACTCTGGGCGAGCAGGCGGCGGCGCTGCTGAGCCCACACGACCGGATCATGGCGCTGAGGAGAGTGACGGCCGCTGCCCAGGTGCTGCTGGCCAGGACCATGGTGATGAGGGCACTGTCTCTGCTGTCGGTCAGGTGAGGCGGGCTGGGCTCCGAAGGTGGCTCCGGTCCATTGCGGTCCGGCGTAGTGCAGTTCAAGAAAGCTGCGATGGAACATGTTTCATCTGAAATGTTTTATTTCATTGTAAGCATAATGGACAGTTATTTAAAATAGCCTAATGTTTTTCTAATATTTTATATTAGAAATGGGATACTTTATGTGCTTTTAGTTTAGCTCAGATTCCTAACTGTGCTGACATGCTGCCCTCTACTGGTCAGCGGGTCCAGCTGCAGCCTGGCAGCCGGTCTAGAGTCCCTGGGCCTGACGGACATCAGGACGCTGGTGCGGCTTATGTGCCTGGCTGCCGCGGGCCGTGCGGGCCTCTCCACGGGCCCCACCACCGGCCCTGGGGCCACAGAGCGCCCCCGGGGGACCGCTAAGGCCAGCAAGCCCATCTCCTGCTTGGCCTACCTGAGCACAGCCGTGGGCTGCCTGGCGTCCAACAGCCCCAACGCAGCCAAGCTTCTAGTGCAGCTGTGCACACAGGTAGTAACCCTGTGTCCGTCTGCGCTGGATTGTATCAGTGTCTGTCCGCTACTGATCTAATTTGTTTGTAATTTACAAATGTAGATCATAATATTTCTGCATATGGTAACACTTCACTTCAAGTGGCATGAATACTTGGTAGTAACTCAGTTACTAATGAACTACCAATCATGAACAATTACAGTAGCTACTTAAAAGGGGCATCATGATTCATTAATGATGAACAAACATGAGTTCGGTATTTTAACTTATTCATTGTTTTTTTTCTTCAGTAGTTCACAAAGGTTTACAGAATGAACAGATATAGTAACATGTAGTAACTGTTTGAGATGACATGTCACGATTCATTAATGATGAATGAACATGAGATCAGTATGTAACTAAGAATTTGTTTTCGGTTAATTAATACATAAGTAATAGCAGAATACTATATTATTTGTGCCCCTTTAAGTGTTACCATGTATATTGTAAAGTTTCTTGATAAATCTACTTATATGTTTGTGTGAAATTCTTTTTGTGGGTTTGATAATGTTTATGCAAATAATTCATGACGTAAATAAAAGTTAGATTTTCTGGTAGATCTTGACCGCTAGTTCGTTGTGTCCACAGAACCTGATTTCTGCCGCCACCGGCGTGAACCTCACCACGGTGGATGACCCCCTCCAGAGGAAGTTCCTGCCTAGTTTCCTCAGGGGTGCGGCGGAGGAGAACAAGCTGGTGACCTCGCCCAACTTCGTCGTCACGCAGGCTCTCGTGGCCCTGCTGGCGGACAAGGGAGCTCAGCTCCGGCCCAACTACGACAAGGCCGACGTGGAGAAGAGAGGTCAGTCCCTCTATCGCCTGACGGGCCCGTGGATATCATCCCTTTGGTGCACGTGAACATCCATTTACTTTAGCTGTAGTTTGACACGAGATGTGAGACCTTGTTTACAGTATCAAATAATTCACTTGGTTCCAAGCACACTGGTAGCCTCATAGCTCTGTGAATCTGCGCGGTCTTTAGCTTTCATGTGGCCCCTTGTACTGGGAGGATCAGAGGGGAAGCTGCTGTGGTCTCTCCATCTTTGTGGTCTTTCCATCTTTGTGGTCTGTCCATCTGACCTTCCACTCACCGGCTCTCCATGTCACTTTTTTGTTCGAGCAGGTTCTCTTGCGCCTTTGTATGCCCACCGTTGCTGTAATCCTTGCGCTGTAGGGCCACTGGAGCTGGCCAACGCGCTGGCGGCCTGCTGCCTGTCGTCGCGGCTGTCCTCGCAGCACCGGCAGTGGGCGGCCCAGCAGCTGGTGCGCGCTCTGGCCGCGCACGACCGCGACAACCAGAGCCGCCCGCAGACCTTCGCCGACATGGCAGGCGACCTGCGCAAATGCTCTTTCATCAAGCTGGAGGCTCACCAGAACCGGGTACGTCACCCCTTCACCTGCCTGTAAGCCTGTCCGGCCGGGTGTCTCGCCAGGAAGGTGGCGTATGTGGCACGGCCCATTGCTTGGGGGGTGGGGGGGGGCTCGCTCCGTCCATCTGTCTGAAGAGACTCGATTAGCATTCAGCAGTAATGAGGGTCGCTCTCCCACGGCATCAGCTGCAGACTGCGCCCCCCCCAGTCCATCTGTCATGTCCCACATTTTTACACATTGTCTGCAGGCAGATCCCACTTGGTCTCGGCTGAAGTTAGTTATTAGCTTTTTCTTCAGAGCGAGGAGAACGTTTGCGTCATGCTGAGTAGCTGCTCGCTTCCAACAGGAACGTAGCGAGGAGATACGTAGCATCACAGACGCTGTCGCCGCCCCCCCTTTTATTCTCACGTGGGTCGGGTCCTTTGTTTTTTATTTACAGGTTATCACTTGCAGTTGGTGCAGTAAAAAAGCTCTGCTGGCCACCAGCGGCACGGACGGGACGGTCCGGGTCTGGAACGTGACCAAAAGCCAGTATGCCCTGCAGCAGACCTGCATCTTCAACAAAGTGTGAGCATCTGCCTCTGCCTGCCCGGGTCGCTGCCGTACGCCCTGCGGGGCGACTCTTACGGTCGCAGGGTTTCCCCTGCGGAAGGTCCTTCCGCCGTGTGTAAATGAGCGCGGTGTTATGAGTTAAGTGTTATGCAGTCGACGATGACATAATTGCCACAAGTGGTTTCCAGCAGAAGGCTTTGGATCTTAATGTGTAATTGGCGTCATCAATCACAGAGCTGCCCTCTTGTACAAGCAGGAGCGATTTACAATTCTTCTTCTTTTCAGACTTGCTGTTTCAGTGTCTTAGTGCCAGAAACAAATCACTTTAATGGCAGTAATACGGTGTAGTATCTGCTGGCACAAAGACTGCAGCCGTCCACATCATCTAGGAAGAAGGGGAGACAGTCACCCAGTGGGCTTAGAGTTCAACATGCTTCTTACGGTTTTTTGGAGGAGAGACAGGCTATGTCAGCCCCCAAATCCAAATATTTATGTTACTTCCTGTTCCTGACAAGCTCCCGTTCTGGCTGCTGATGAATTCTCTGCATGCTACATACATCAACACGCTTGTGTCATGTTTCTGAGTAGCAGCACTCCATGTATGACTGTGTTTCCACATGGCCCCTATTGGTGTCCCACAGTACTGTCTTTATTGGGAAATAAGTATTTTTTTTTTTTATTTTATGGTGAAATGTTTCCACATGAAAGTGATCCTCTTCCCCAGTTTAAATGCGTTTCCCAGTACCCATTTCTGCGTTTTTTTTTTTTTACACAACAGCTTTATGTGAAATGTCGGCACTCACAGTGCGGTGTATGTCTGCCCCTGCTCAGGGACGGCTCCTCAGAGGAAGGCCTCAGCTGCCTGGGCTCTCCGGGGGACCCCAGCTTGTCCCCTGTCACCTGGAGCGTCACCGGAAAATACCTAGCTGCTGCTATGGAGAAGATGGTGAACATCTGGCAAGTCAATGGTAAAGAGTTGGGCGTTTTTATAGCATAGGGCATTTCAGGCTGTGGGTGTGGTGTTTGAGGCATGCAGAATTTAAGGAGTGGGGCATTTGAGGCAGCCGGCGTTTAGAGTGCAAGGCATTTGAGGCGCGTGGAGTTCGAGGCGCGTGGAGTTCGAGGCGCGTGGAGTTCGAGGCGCACGCTTTACCTTAGCTATAGATTCAGAGGCCCAGGTTCTGTTCCTCACTCCCAGCCTCCGCTCACTGCACAGTCAGTGTGCTCTTAGCGCTGATGAGACAGATGACCCCCCCAGTCCCTCCCACACTCCGGTGCTGGCATTCAGCAGATTCCCATGTGGGCGGTGCTTACACAGAGTTCGGTCATGATGCCCCGCTTGACTGATGCTCGACCCCAGACGTGGGATGGATGCAGACGCTGCGGGATCCCCGGCTCCAGCCGGCCAACATGCCGCCCCGTGCCTATTGCTGTCGGCCCTGGTTTGACAGGACAGGAAAGGCCGCTGCTTTCTCTACAGCACACATGCGTGCGGGGGAGTGCTTGACATAAAGCCAGGGTCCTGTAGGCCGTCCTCATTCAGATGAGACTCCTTAGAGCCAATCATGAACCCTTCACAAGCCCAAAGACTCAGGGAGGCGGGGTTGGGGGGGGCGCTCTGCCAGCCCCTGGGTTGTTGGCTGTCCATTGCCCCTTTTCCATGTCTGTTAATTAGGTCATTAGGGACTGAAGTTAAATCTAAATCTTGTCGTTTCAAATGCCCATTTGGCTGAAGTCTACAGTTGAAGTTCTCGATAAAGCACAATTCCTTCCACAAGTTAGAACTTGGCGTCCCCTGTAAACGATCAGGCCCATCTGTGCTGTTCTTGGGCCCTGATTCGCACTCGCTGTGTAGCATGTAGCGGGCAGCGGGGGGGGCTCTTCTCGAAGTCCTCCAGAGCAAAGTGCCGATCCCTGTTTCCGCAGGAGGGAAAGGCCTGCTGGACGTGCAGCCGCACTGGGTGTCCGCCATGACCTGGCCCGAGAAGGAGCCGCCGTCCTCGTGGCCCGGGGATCCGCAGGAGGTGCTGCTGGTGGGCCGCATGGACGGCTCGCTGGGTCTGATCGAGGTGGCTGACGCCTCCACCATGCGCAGGGTGGAGCTGGAGCACTGCTACAGGAAGGACGGCAAGTGTCTGCCCCGCCTCCGCCCACCGACCCGGCCCAGGGGACCCGCCTATAACCGGGCCTGTCGCTCTCCCTATTGCAGTGGCCATCATGCACATTGCCTGGTACAGCGAGGACAGGCCGTTCGCCGTCGGCTATGCAGACGGAAAGCTTCTGATTGGCTCCAAAGAGCCGCTGGAGAAAGGAGCTGTGGTGGTCATCGACGCACATAAGGTGCGCAGAACCTTCCGGGCCTGTTTTCTGCCGGCCTGTCCACACGACTCTGACCAAGTCTCTTCGCTTCAGGAGTCCATCACGTGTATGAAGTGGGCCCCCAGCGGGCAGGCGCTGCTCACCTGTGCCCGGGAGGAGACCGTCAACGTGTGGGTGTCCGCCGGCCCCCAGGGGCCCTGGAGCTGTCTGCAGGCCCTGACTCACCCTTCTGTGGTCAACGCCATCGCTTGGTGTCCCCTGCCAGGCCGGAGCCCCAAGGCCCTCAACATGCTGGCTACGTAGGTGTCCTCAGCCCCGGAGGGAGCCGTGTGAGCGGGAGCGATAGGGGGGGTGACCTGAAAATCCAGCAGAATGTTTCCTTTCATTTCAGGTGCTGTCAGAATGGCCTAGTGTGCGTCTGGGCCCTGCCTCAGGATGCCGTCAGCTTCTCCGAGTGCAGCCACGGCCCGTCCGACGCCTGGTGGGAAATGGACCCGAAATGCAGGCCCAAGGTACGGGCGCCATGGCCACGCCCCCTGCTGGAGAGCCGCAGCCGCCTCTAGGGGGAGTCATGCATCGCTCAGACCCTTGTTTTCCCCACAGCACCCTTACAGGAAGCCTGGCGGAGCGACGTGCGTCTTTCAGCTCCGGGGCCACATCACCTCTGTGCGGACCGTGGCCTTTAGCCCGGACGGTCTGGCGCTGGTGTCGGGTGGCACCGGTGGCCTCATGAACATCTGGTCTCTGCGGGTAAGTCTGGCCCAGATAACAGCCCAGGTTCGATCCTTCCGGGGATTTCTCTTACGGGGACGAGTAACGACGTTGCCGCGTTCACCAGGACGGCTCGGTGCTACAAACCGTGGTGGCGGGTTCCGGAGCCATCCAGAACATCGTGTGGATCCCGGATGTGGGTGTGGCCGTGTGCTCCAACAGGTCCAAGGTAAACGCCTCTACTCCCAGCATGCGAGTCGCCTTGGGTCGGTGCTGCCCGGCTGATCGGCTCCCGGTTTCCCCACAGGATGTCCTGGTTGTGAACTGCACGTCCGACTTCCTGTCCTCCAACCACGTTCTGGCCACGTGCAGGACGGCCCTGAAGAGGCAGGGGGTCGCGGGCCTCCACATGGCTCCTTGCATGCGGGCGTTTCTGGAAAGGCTGCCCGTCATGCTGCAGGAGCAGTATGCCTATGAGAAGGTACCTCCGGCTCCTCTGTGTCCTGCCAGTGTATCAGGGCTGCACAGTCTCTGTATTTAAGAGTTACATTCGAACGTTTCAAAGGGGGGTGTGCTTAACTCTCCATGGTTTGGGTAAACTGGGAAATGGGTGAGCGGGACATGGGGCTACACCAGCGGCCATGATGCCCCCCCTTGACGCTCCTCGCCCCGGCAGCCGCAGGTGGTGTGCGGCGAGCAGCTGGTGCACAGTCCCTACATGCAGTGCCTGGCCTCCCTGGCTGTGGGCCTCCACCTGGACCAGTTGCTGTGCAGGCCTCCGGTGCCCCCGCACCTGTCCCACTGCCCGCTGGAGCAGGGTGCCTGGAGCGCCAGCGAGTGGGCCTGGCTCGACTGCTTCTCCACCACCGTCAAGGCGGCCGAGGCGCTGGCCCGTGGCTGCTCCTTCCCGGACTCCTTCACCGTCCCTGACCTGGAGCCGGTGCCGAGGGAGGAGATGGCGCTGCTGATGGTGAGGGGGCGGGGCGCTGCTGATGGTGAGGGGGCGGGGCGCTGCTGACGGTGAAGGGGGCGGGGCGCTGGTGAAGGGGGCGGGGCGCTGCTGACGGTGAAGGGGGCGGGGCGCTGGTGAGGGGGTGGGGCGCTGCTGACGGTGAGGGGTGTCACTGATGGTGTCACTGAGTGTGTGTGTGGATACATTTTCACAGGACAACAGTAAATGGATCTCTGGGATGGACGAGCAGATCATGTGCTGGGCCACCTCCAGACCAGAGGTAGGGAACTCATAATAACAGAACACTGTGCCGTGCGGAGGGTTCTCCAGGCACGGCCCCTGGCACGGCTGGCCTAACGCTGCGTATTGGGTTTCTCGGGACAGGACTGGCACCTGGGCGGGAAGTGCGACGTGTACCTGTGGGGGGCCGGACGGCACGGGCAGCTGGCCGAGGCCGGGAGGAACATTCTGCTCCCGTCGGCAGCCACCTCCTTCTCGCAGGCCCAGCAGGTGAGGCGGCGGGAGCCCCACGCGAGCGCGACCTTCCAGAGTCCCTCACAAAGGCGTGAACGCCGGCATGGAGGCCTCAGACGCTCGGGAGGCGCCGCGTTCATTATGGGTTCCATCTGCTCCATCCATCCCGCCATCATCCCCCCATATTTTAGCATGATGATCACTTTTGGGAAATGAGCTCCTCCAGACTCCTTCCATTATTCATGGCGGCGGCGGCTGTGGCCAGCCTGGCCGCTGCTATTCTTAGACAGACACTTCATCCGTGCCGCTCTCGCCCCCCCTCTCCCTCTCCCCCCCTCCCCCGGCGCTCTGGGCCGGCTGTCTCCCGCCGCAGGTGGTGTGTGGCCAGAACTGCACCTTCGTCATCCAGGCTAACGGCACCGTGCTGGCCTGCGGGGAGGGCAGCTACGGTAGGCTGGGCCAGGGCAACTCGGACGACCTGCACGTTCTCACCGTCATCTCGGCCCTGCAGGGTAGGATGCTTCCGCCCGCCGGCTCACTGCTAGCAGTTTCAAAGCGCTTTCTCTACGTGGGTAACATCGCAGATGTTTGGGGTTCCTGCTCTGCAGGCCTGTGTTTTACCGGGGCTGATGCGGACGGGGAGTATAGGCGTGACGTGGTGTTGACTGTGCCCCTGTGCTGTGTGGCGGCTTCAGGCTTTGTGGTGACCCAGCTGGTGACGTCCTGCGGCTCCGACGGCCACTCCATGGCCCTGACGGAAAGCGGCGAGGTCTTCAGCTGGGGCGACGGCGACTACGGCAAGCTGGGCCACGGCAACAGCGACCGCCAACGCCGGCCGCGACAGATCGAGGCATTGCAGGGCGAAGAGGTGGTGCAGGTCAGGCGGCTCGGCCACGCCTCCTTTCGCTCTCCTTTCCTTTGGTTGGTTGTCTTTCTTCATGTGCTCCCCCCTATCAGAACAGTCTGCTGTACATGTACTACAGACCTGATATTTCTGCACCTGCCTAGAACCTTCCCCAGGTCTTAACCGTCTTTGGTGACTTAAGCTGCTCTATAGCTGCTGTATTTAGGTACCTCAAACTTTTCAGATGTCCTGTGGCTTCAAGCATTCGGCAGTGGTGACGGCAGACGGCAAGCTTTTCTCTTTCGGCAACGGCGACTACGGCCGCCTGGGCCTGGGGAACACGTCCAACAAGAAGCTTCCGGAAAGGGTCACGGCCCTAGAGGGCTACCAAGTGGGACAGGTAGAAGCGAGCGCCTGCCACCGTGCCCCCCGTTCCCCCCGTCCCCCCCGTCCCCCGCCATGGCCGCAGAAGGAATTATTTATAACTGCTAAGATGTGCTGTTTCTCCGCATCAGCCTGTTCCTGTTTGCTGTAACCCTGTTGTTGAGGTCTGTACTGCATTCCTCAGGTGGCTTGTGGTCTGAATCACACTCTGGCCGTTTCTGCTGACGGCATGATGGTGTGGGCCTTCGGAGACGGAGACTATGGAAAACTGGGTCTCGGAAACTCAACTGCAAAATCCTCTCCCCAGGTGGGTTTATGTGACACTTGGATAATGTCACAATACATGAATATGGACTTGTGTTCAGTTCTTGTCTGCTCTCTCTCTCTCTCTCTCTCTCTCTCCCGCTTGCGGATTACAGAAAGTGGATGTCCTTTGTGGTATCGGGATTAAAAAGGTCTCCTGTGGCACCCAGTTTTCCGTCGCCCTGACGAAGGACGGCAACGTCTACACGTTCGGACAGGGTAGGGCGACGGGCCGTCTCCAGTGCCGCCGCTCGGGCCGTCTTTGGTGCCTCTGTGTGCTGACGCTGCTGCTGCTTCCAGATCGCCTGATCGGGCTGCCCGAGGGCCGGGCGCGGAACCACAACCGGCCACAGCTGGTCCCCGCACTCTCGGGGGTCTTCATCTCCGACATCGCTGTGGGGGCGGAGCACACACTGGCGCTGTCCTCCACGGGGGAGGTGTACAGCTGGGGCAGCAACTCCGAGGGCCAGGTGGGGTCCCACGGGGGGGTAGGGGCGGGGTTCGAGTTCCTTTGGAACCTCTTCTCTGAAGGACTCCATGATGAAGATGGCATCTAATGTAAAAGGCTTCATTGCCCTAATGAGCCACCTTCTCATCGCAGAGGAAGGGGTTATTTTGGTACCTGATGACAAAAAGGTCCTCAGGTCCTCATTTAACAGGCGTGCCAGGTCTCTCATAACAGATGATACCATTATCCCTGCTTTGCCCATGAATCACTCACGGGGAGCTAATGGCAATGAGTGGTTTTCGAGCGAAGCTGCCTCGGCTTCTAAATGAGGTCTGTTCTGCATTAACCGCTGTAAGCGTGCTCTAGTTTGTCGTTCCAACGGACCTTTTGAAGGGAGCTTTGGAAACCTTTTGAAATCTCTGTCCGCCGGCCCCACTGTTCCAGACAGGGGTCAGCGGCTCAGACCGCAGGCGCACTCCGATTAGATCTCAGCCACTCACGGCGTATTTTAAGACCGGCTGTAGTACGGCCCAGTCAGCAGCTCCCAGCGCATTCGGCTGCTGTGTGGGGCGGCCAGGCGGACTGATTCATCGCTTTGTTTACTATATAGCTGGGCCTCGGCCACACCAACCACGTGCGAGAGCCCACGCTGGTGACCACGCTCCAGGGCAAGAACATCCAGCAGATCTCAGCCGGTCGCTGCCACAGCGTGGCCTGGACAGCCCCTCCCGTCCCACCTCGAGCTCCCGGTAAAGGGCCCTGTCGTGCACGCACACGCACACGCACACACACCCGTGACGTCCCCCGTAAGAATTGTGCCCCAGCTGGGACTCATTTTAAGTACTTGCCGCTATAGCCGTTTTCAGGCAGATGGCAGTAGCTCAAAAAGCAGGGACTACAATGGCAGTAAAATTCGAGCGTAGTCCAGCCAAAGGTCTGGATTTCTGAGCAAAGCCTCAGGTCCACAGGAAGTCTCTGTGAAGTAAGCTTGATACATATCATTGTTTTATTTTTAGAGTAATTCACGGTTCTTTTTTTAAGAATCTAATCATTTGTACTCCTATTGACTTTATAAGGTTTTTGCACTTACGCCAAAGCCGTTTGCACCCTGCCATCTGGGTGTCTAACCTTTTGTACTTGTATCTTGATTGCATCTTTAATTGTGCTCTCCACGCCACCACCTGCACCAAAATAAGTTCCTTGTACTTTTTGTACTTGCCGAATAGAAGACTTCTGATTTTGATTATTTACTTACCCGACTTGATTCTAAGATGCCAGTGAGGTCTGCAGTGACTCTCTGCCTTTTCCCAGGATCCTCTGTGCCTCTGCAGCTGGGTCTGCCAGTGGCAGTGCCTCCTCAATACAGTGCCCTCAAGGAGGTCAGCATGGAGGTGGTCCGTGCCAGGCTCCGCCTCCTCTACCATTTCTCGGACCTCATGTACTCCTCTTGGAGGCTGCTGAACCTCAGCCCCAACAACCAGGTGAGCCGGGGCGGGTTCGGGGGCCGGTTTTGCCTCCCGAGTCATTGATCCAGGCTCTAAGCCAAGTCTGAAGTATCAGGGAGGGGAATATAACCAAGCAGGTTTAAAAGTAAGTTGCCTGAGTTTTAGAATAAGCTGCAGAGGTCTGAGCTGTGGTGTTCTGCTCCAGAGCTGCACGTCACATTACAACGTGGGGACGTGGGGCCTCATCCAGGGGCAGCTGCGGCCTCTGCTAGCGCCTCGCGTCTATACATTGCCCATGGTGCGCTCCATCGGCAAGACGATGGTGCAGGGCAAGAACTACGGACCGCAGATCACCGTCAAAAGGATCTCCACGCGGTCAGTGGCCGGCCCGTCTCCTGCCGCGCCCCCTCCGGGTGCCGTACGCCGTTTCTGACCCCCGTCCCATCCCGTCCTGTCTCGTCCTCCAGCGGCCGGAAGTGCAAGCCCATCTTCGTGCAGATCGCACGGCAGGTGGTGAAGCTGAACGCCTCGGACCTGCGGCTGCCCTCCCGCGCCTGGAAGGTGAAGCTGGTGGGGGAGGGGGCCGACGACGCCGGCGGGGTGTTCGATGACACCATCACGGAGATGTGCCAGGTAGGACGGGGCCGTTGGGATGGCGTGAAAGGCGCTGGCAGGCTGCCCTGCACTCTGGTCCTATCAAGCAAGCGACCTCCTCCCTGCTCTTTGTTTCCACACTGCTTCATCTTGCTCCATCTTACGTGAAAATCTGAGAAAGTCTCTTTGTTTCTTTCCTGCTTCTTTACATGAAGGAGCTGGAGACTGGTGTCGTTGACCTTCTCATTCCCTCTCCAAACGCCACAGCTGAAGTCGGCTACAACCGAGACAGGTGAGCGCTCTCTCGGCCCAGTGTACCCCGTCAGGGGCAAAGTCCAGGGAGAGTTATGACTTCAGATTGACCAAATAAAAATGATCTGGTACCCTGCACCTTCTGTCCAAAGTCATTCTTGGTTAAAGTGGCACGTCGTCAACGTGAGTGTAGCCTTTATACGAGCAGTGCAATAAACCAGGGGCAAGTTGGTCGAGCATCTTCTTGTAAATGATTGGTGACACTCTTGTTGATGTCCCGTCTTGCCGTGCTTCTCAGTAAACATGAACGTCACGGTCTGACAGCTGTGTAGCTTGGGAAGTACTTCATCAGCTAAACGGTCGTCTCATTCTCTTCCAGGTTCTTGTTCAACCCTTCAGCCTGCCTGGATGAGCATCTCCTGCAGTTCAAGTTCCTGGGCATCCTGATGGGGGTGGCCATCCGTACCAAGAAGCCTTTAGACCTGCACTTGGCCCCCATGGTGTGGAAGCAGCTCTGCTGTATCCCCCTGGTTTTGGAGGACCTGGAGGAGGTTGACCTTCTCTACGTCCAGACCCTCAACAGCATTCTTCACATTGAAGACAGCGGGATTACTGAGGAAAATTTCCATGAGGTAATGAGGTTCAGTGGCACGCCCCCCCCCCCCGCCCCGGTCGGCATGTGTCCTGGCTCTCTCTGCCTCCACAATAGCGGTCGGCCTTTCAAGGTGCATTTATGGGAAAATAGAGTGGCCGGCAGTTGCATAAACACCCTTGCACAATCATGCACCATTGAGGCTGTAATGCGAGCCGTGTGGATGCAGCAGATCTTGGAAGCGTTCCCAGGCCGACGAGCTGGGGCTTTGGTGCCTGGGCAAGAAAATGGCACAAGGCAGATTTTTTTATTTTTACTTCTAAGGGAGAGAACTGTCTGTTCCTCTGTGGTTTTCTGGATTTCATTATCTTTTACTTTAGTGCAAATGTCTGTCCGCCTGGTGACTTATCTTGTGATACAGTCTTCATTTTGTTTCTCATTTCTGAAAACACTGTCGTCCTCTGCTATGGTCCCCAACGTATCTTCTGTGCATTAAAATGGCAGCGCTGTTGTCCTGTGGCTCATACCACTAACCGTTTATAATGGACGCGATGAGCAGGAAGCAGCAGGAGGCGCTCTCGCGCGTCCGTGACACACCTCTCTGTGAATGGATTAGCCGCCACGCCGTCCGTCACGAGGGGCCGCGTATTCCACAGCTGACCTGCGTTTCCGCCTTGCAGATGATTCCTCTCGACTCCTTCGTGGGCCAGAGCGCAGACGGGAAGATGGTTCCCATAATTCCAGGAGGAAACAGCATCCCTCTCACCTTCTCCAACAGGAAGGAGTATGTGGACCGCGCTATCGAGTACCGGCTCCATGAACTGGACCGCCAGGTATGGATCTGGGTTCGGTTCCGTGGCTTGTGGTATGGAGTCTTAACCTGGAACATTCCTGTGATTTAACACATCTCTCAAGGAGGGTTATTACCCCTGTCTGTGATTCATCATTTAAAATGGCTATTGTTTTTTGGATTTATGATCCAACAAAAGCTTATCTTAATGAAAAGTGGCGGATTTAGATTCAGGTTCTGACTGCGTGTGCGTGCGTCCAGGTGGCCGCGGTGCGCGAGGGCATGTCCTGGATCGTGCCCGTGCCACTGCTCTCCCTGCTCACGGCCAAGCAGCTGGAGCAGATGGTGTGCGGGATGCCCGAGATCTCCGTGGACGTCCTGAAGAAGGTGGTGCGCTACCGCGAGGTGGACGAGCAGCACCAGCTGGTGCAGTGGTTCTGGCACACCCTGGAGGAGTTCTCCAACGAGGAGCGTGTGCTCTTCATGCGCTTCGTGTCGGGCCGCTCCCGTCTGCCCGCCAACACCGCTGACATCTCGCAGAGGTTTCAGATCATGAAGGTCGACCGGGTGAGTGGATGCCCCCTACAGGCCACCCGCTCTCATTGTCTCGGTTATTTCACGTGAGGCATGTTAGTACCTGTGATGTCTTAAATCTTTTCAGAAAAGATGGGGGGGGCAGCGTGGCTCAGTGGGTCAGAAGGCTGTGCCTATTGGTAGCAAGGTTGCCAGTTTGATCCCCGCAGTCAGCAGAGTGATGTCAGCATTGGGCCCCTAAGCAAGGCCCTTAAGGCCCAGTTGGTCCCACATTGGATATAAAAGTATCTGCTATGTGAATAAAATGCAAAATCTATGTGTAAGATGCACGGTCTAAACTGGCTCTCTCTGCCCCCCCCAGCCCTTTGACAGCCTGCCCACCTCCCAGACCTGCTTCTTCCAGCTCCGCCTTCCTCCCTACTCCACTCAGAGCGTTATGGCCGAGCGACTGCGCTACGCCATCAACAACTGCCGCTCTATCGACATGGACAACTACATGCTGTCCCGCAACGTGGACAACGCAGAGGGCTCCGACACTGACTACTGACACAGCACAACCCGCGCTCAGACCCCCGAGGCGCACTGGGTGGGGTTGGGGGCACCAGACACCCCAAAGGCCCCCTGCCCGCCGTGTGGGAACTCGAGCCAAAAGCGTTTGCAAAACTCGCCACTTTTTAAGTATCCAATGTACTTGCGAATGTTATGGAGTTTTTATTTCACCTTGTGGTTTATTTGAAGTCCAAACAATCAGCGCCGGCAGTGCATGGAGTCATTCTCCTCTGCCCCCCCCCCCCCCCCCATCCTCTCTTTGAGGCCTCCTTTACGTTTGCATGGTGGTATGTCTGTTTTGTTTGGCGCTGTTCTTAGAGTAAGGAGTTCAATGACAATTAAAGGACGAACACTTGTACATTGTGTATAATGTTTCATTAGGAAAAAAAGTTTTACATAAATATTCATATTTATTTTGTTTTAATTTTCAATTTGAGTTTCTTAAAGCAGAAAACAAAAATAAAAGCATCAATTCTACTTTCCTGTGACTTTTTACTGGCTGGGATGTAAGCACCCATTTTATGAATGACACGAATGCAGACCCCAAACAGGTATAACCACATTTATTTCCAAAGTATAAAATAAAAGGCCACTTCATAGGGTAAATTAACAACTTGCAACATTGTTCAAGATATATACACTAAGATAGTATCCTCTCGGCCTGTCAGACATTCAGCCACCTTTGTGCTGACAGAATCCCTTACATCTGATCACTGAATGCAGTTGGCTGGACTTTAATAATTTTCTCGACACTGTGAATGGCAGGAATTTGGATTCCCTAAAGACAGCCCAGAGGCTTACAGGTTGGTTCTAGGTTAGTGTGACCACCTAATCCATGTCAGGAAAAACACTTTGAGCTACTTCAGGTTTTACAAACTGCTCTAAAACTGAAAAGGCTTCTGTGCTTGGCTAAATTGTTTGATTCATCTTGTACTTTTACTGGTTTGTTTGCTTGGTTGAAAGACTCATCCAGCTGTTTCATACGAACATTAATGACATGTGTGACACTGACCAATCAGCACACAGCAAGAACTCAGCGCTCAAGTGAGATCCAGGTGCAATTAATTGAAAAGCTTGAAACGGCAGTTTACGAAACCTTTTGTGGCTCAGTGTCCATCCTGACAGGGATGAGGTGGTCACCCTATTCTGGGTGGTGATCATGGACCAAACCAGGCACAGTTGATAGGCACTGCCTGCCTTCTACCAAATATACAAAAAAATAAATACAAAAAAAAAACATCTGCAGTTCACATTCATTGCGATGGCACCAGTCAAGGGTGACAAATCACCATGGTGGGATTATCTTCTGAGTGAGTCAAATGACCTTCAGCATACACACAGTCTGGCTCATCGGCGGCATTGATGACATTCTGCATTTACTCACGGCCTGGTATCGACTTGAGGTAGAAGTGTTGCATCAGAACTTCTAAAGAACATTCATGAAGTAACAGTCGCATCATTCAGCTCCCTCTAACTCACAAAGAACTGCATTTGATGCTCATTTTACACTTCTGCATGGGTACCCTTGACTCACTTCCTGTGTCAATAATTCAAGTGTTCCCAAAAGAAATTACATGTTCCATTCCCTTGTTAAAATTCTCTTTTATGGATCTGAGACCTGTGTTGCGAGTCTTGGAAGGACCAACCGTTTCTGTGGGGAAGGAGTGACACACTCACTCCCAGATGCGAGGTGTCCTTATGTCAAGTAAGTGCAATACAGTTGGGTTAGGGAAGTCATGTGACATGGTGATAGGGGTATAGATTCATCATTTCTGAACACGAATGAGTAATTTCTCACCCTTCTTTCATTGCGTGTCATTTCATGTGTACCAGAATGGCTGTCTAAACGACTCCAGCTTGGGATGGGACAGGCCAGGCCAGGCCAGGCTAGCTCAGGGAAGAGCTCCTGAAGACAGCACTTCAGCACTATGACCAGCTACTCTCACTAGCGCCCCCTGTTGCCCTGCATGTGATAATGCTGTCTGTGGACTTCAGCAGCCTTTCCAAACAGGGGGCGTTGATCTTGGCTGGAGGTGGCCGGCCAGGTGGCGGCGTGTCGGTCCGGATGTCGGTGCTGGATGAGATGGCACTGTCTTGCGTTAAGTCTTGGTCGGCGGACGGCAGCCGCCCCGGGGGAGACTCCACGGCGGGGGAGCAGATGGGAGACATGTGAAGCCACTTGGTGCGGGTACTGAAGCAGGGACCCAGCAGGCTGGTCTCGATGTGGGAGGGGGAGGCGCCGATGGGGCCCCGGTGAGCCGGGGGAACCGACCGGGCAGGGCTGCCAACACACAGCTGGCGGGAGAAACAAAGAGACTCTGAAGTGGCTTTTCTGTGACATCACAGCAGAAAGACGACAAAGCCGCGGGTTCCTGCTGGGGGAGTCGGCGTCAGCGCCCCCACACCGCAGCCGAAACTCAGAAGCAGAACCTGACCTCACACCTGACTGATTCACTCACAAAGGGGCCTTTGTACGGAGAGCTTCTGCATTTCTGCACCCCCCCCCGCAGGTGCTGCTCTCGTTCGTGTTGCTTCTTATTGGTTAACGGTTCAGACAGAGGATAACAGCAGCAAACCTGCAGCTCGTTAAATCAGTGTTTCAGAACCCGGTCCTCAGGGACCCACCGACGGTCCACATTTTTGCTCCCTCTCAGCTCCCGGTAGGAGCAAAAACATGACCTGTCTGCACGTCCCCAAGGACCAGGTTGGAAAACATTGCGTTAAATGCACATGGTGGTGGTGGTGGTGGTGG